GGCAAATGACCGTTTTCAGAAAGAAATTTGAGAATGAGAATTAAAAATGCCCGTTTATTATGAACATTCGAGAAAATTTCTTCGAATTCAGAGATGATTTTGTTGACTATAATATACGAATACAAAACTAACTGCACAATCAAAGCTCTTCTATTTTTCCTCTACTTATACTTTTTATGAGAGAGTAATTGTCTTTTATTATTAATTCATCATTTTAAATTAAGCTCTGTTCACTACTGAACTTAGATGGAGTAAAATCCTCGCGGTGAATTGCATATACCCACATTTTCGATAGCTCCTCGTCCAACGGGAAACTAAAAGCATGAACTTTTGAACCACCCACATAATTCCCCCTACAAAAGGGAACACAACACTTGAAAGGCATTGTTATTTCACCGATCACAACACAAAATATTTCACAAAACAGTAATTTTTCCGCCAATTATTTTGATGAATAAATAACAAAAGAATTCGGGACCGTTTCAAAAACATACGAGAATCATACCGATGAATTAACACGAACTGACGCGTTAGTCGACAAGCGATAAAATAAAACACTGGCCTCTCTTGGTGACGTCACGAGCTGTTTACGTCAGAGTCTGCTGGCCTTGTTGTATCGGTGGTAACGGTTAAACACAAAGGGCTGAAAATATTCATCCCAAGTGTCCCCCTTGAAAATAAAATTGACGTCTCTTCTCGATTTTTTATATTATCTACTGGAAGGAAGATATTGGAGGTGGGAAGTTCTCCAAATGTCACCATGTATCATTATAATTGTACCTACATACTTTTATACCCATATACATAAAATATGATATATGCGCCTGGTAGAGTCCGATATCATGTTTTCTAATTTTGAAATTTGTGTGAATTGTTGAGGCAATGAGGATAATGGAATATGAGATTGAAATCTAACATAACAGCGTCACCTTTCAACCTGATGTAACGCTGTTATGCACTTCCTACACAATCTCAAGAAATCAAACAAACAAATCAGTACCCACATTTCACTGTCCAATTCATGCTGAGAACTGATACACTTTTTACTATATTTACTATACCGGGTGACACAGGCTATCGGGCCACCCCTGTAACTTTTGCATTCGTCAACGGATTTTTCTGAAATTCTGTACAGTTATATAAGCAACTATTGCGGATTTGATCACGTCACGATCCAATATGTCGGACTTCCGGTTTTTCTGGAAATGCCAGCAATTTTGTTTTTTCAAATGGAACACCCTGTATATTTTTACATATTCAAGTTCAACAGGTCATAACAAGTGCAATCTTGATGTCAAATGTCATTTATTCCACAGCCTACCTAGTTGAAAAATGATTCTAACTGCAAGGAAATTCATGACTAGTTGTTGATTTTTGAATGTATACGATTTGTTACTGCACCGAAAAACAAAAATGGTATTTCATTTTGTTCCTTAATGTATGTTCTAGAGAAACGGGTAGGTGGCCCATAGGGGTTCCATTTGAAAAAAAATAATTTTTGATCAAAAAGTGATGTGGCTGAATTGATTCCTGGATAAGTGACACAAAAAATAATTTTTCAGAAAAAATTATGTTCTTCTGTTATGTGTGACTCATTGTGAATAGTCTTCAATTTTTTCGAAAAAATGACATTTGAAATAAAGATTGCACTTGTTTCGACCTGTTGAACTTGAATATGTAAAAATATACAGGGTGTTTCATTTAAAAAAACAAAGTTGCTGGCATTTCCAGAAATACCGGAAGTCCGCCATACTGGATTGTAATGTGATCAAATCCGAAATAATTTCTTATATAACTGTACCGAATTTCAGAAAAATCTGATGACGAAAGCAGAAGTTACAGGGGTGGCCCGATACCCTGTGTCACCCGGTATTTTATTTTGGACCAAAGTAATTAATTATTGATCAACCTCTATTCTTCATTTACGGACATGGGATCTCAAACAGAATATCTGTTAACAGCCACCACCTTTCTTCCTCTTATGAAAATGATCATTCGATTAGAATTCATAAAATACTCAATAAACATTTGCAAACGCATGCTCTTAACCTCATTTCTCACGAGTACAAGTGCAAGTGATTGTATTCCAAGGTATACAAGGTTTTACATAAGAATTTTTTGTCATTAATCAAGATCAGAAAATTATGCAACCACTTGTGCGATCGATAGTTACAAAGTACTGAAACTTTGAAGGTCATTCCATTTGGAAAGGCATTAAGTTTCATGAAAGTGGATATTATACAGGGTGTTTCAAAGAAAGTTATTTTCGATCGTTTGATTCTTCGATCATTAAATTTTTTTGTAAGTTGATGTTCGATCAACAGAAATTCGACGAGATGATTGCGATCAGATCCCTGGTGTCGAATGAAACATTTTATACAGATGTCTTACGATTTTTTATACATGAAAATACACATTTTTGTTCGTTGTTCAGAAATGAGTGAAACAAATTCGATGAAATTTGACGAAAGTGCATTTTAGAGGATTACTCTCCCTTAAGTAATCAAAGAAACCCAAAAAACTCATGCAAGGATTGAAACTACCCTCACCCCCTGACATTCTTTTCAGAACATTCTTAAGGGTGGTAATACGGTTCTCAATTTTTGTTCAACGAGGAGACAGATCAATAATCTTAATTTTGTTACTTTTGTTGAGAATATTGAAAATGTTTTATTCGGTCATGCAAACAGATATTCCCAGTACAAGCTTAATAACATTGAAATACAAAATTCATTTGACAGTGGAAACAAAGGGATTGCAATCTTGTCGCGAGATCTCGACCATTTTTAGCGAGATTCATCAAAAATGGGCGAGATCTCGCGAGTTTGACGAGATTGCAGATTGATATATTTTATCGATCATTCTCCAATTTCTAATAGATGTCTGAGAAGGTTTATAGTTCTCTTTGATCGATATCAATATCTCAGTTTAAGTGTCAACTCAGCTTAGTTAATTAGTTCCATTTCAGTTGTTTACTTCTTGTTGTTTTGTTATAAAAGAACTCTTTCATTATTGTAAGACTTTTGTTTTATATTGGGAGAGGAGACTGGTTGTTTATTTCATTTCTTATCTGATTAGACATGACAAAGTTTATTGGAAAAACTCATAGATCGATACGTCAAACAATAAAGTTGAATACATAAAAGTTCGTTTTTGGATGTATGATGAATTGATATTCATCATACACAGGACGTGCTGAATTGAGAAATCCTTATCACGAATCTGCGATTGAAGGTCTATAAAAATAACAAGTTTGCATCGTTCAAGTTTGAACCCGCCTTGATTGAGTGAAAGTATTGAAAAGGAATATTCTCATAAATAATCAGGATTTTACAAAAAATGGATATATATATATATATATATATATATATATATATATATATTAAGAAATTCATTGAGAATAACTGGACTTCAGGGTACTGATGTGGATTTGATATCCGAAGGGAGTTTATTCGAATGAAGTCATATAACCTGTTTGTGAGACATATAATTTCCATATCACTGATAAAAATGATTTTTTTTCGAAAGTTCTAAGCTCATCAAGATCAGAGTTTATAGGAGTATACTCCTCCTATACATTTCAATTTTCATTTCTATACTGAAGATAATGGTAAGTTATATTTTTATATCATATCATCATATTATTTGATCGGATTTGAGAGATGAAGTCAATTCTCAATCTCAGAGGATTTTCATTTTTTATGCTCTCTTTTTGGATGTTCAACAAATATATGATTCAATGCTCGACGTGGCAAATAGCCAGGAAAGTAGTTGTTTTCTGTTGAATATTGAGAATGATATTATGTGCATATCCTTTTATATGAAGGAGAATGCAAATTCTCTACCTCAGAAGATTTTGTTTCCAAATTCTTATCGTGTGTGTTCAATAGATATAATTCAATGTTCGTCGTGGCATATAGCCAAGGAAGTAGTTGTTTTCTGTTGAATAAACCGAGGAAGAATTGATATTTTGATCACATAGAGAATGTGAATTCTCAATGTATTTCTTTATATATATCTTTTTTTTGAATGTTCATAATCATATCTGAGAATATTCCTTCTTAACATGAAAGTTCATTGAAAAAATCGTAATTGGCGAGATCTCGCGGTATTCTTATTCATAAACTCGCGAGATCTCACATGAGCTCCAAACTAGCGGGATTGCATTCCCTACTTAAAACTCTCCTCACGGGCAAATGGTACATTTTGGTATATAAATTAATTGGGTCCAATCCACTTATTTCGACCTATATTGCACGTGGTGGCCCTGTGTCCCAGCAATTTTGGGACATTCTGTATATGCGGCTCTCACCATTGCGTTTGTGATTGAAATGAAGCCTCGGTGACACTGATCTCATCGACATATAGTTTGAAAATAATACTGTCCTTTCAAGTATCAACTGTCCCACCCTGTACAGGGAATTGATGAGAGTCAATATACAGGTATTCGAGACAAGAACAAAAATAATTTGCAATCAGTTTTCGGAATAGAAAAAATATTTCCTGATGTTTGAAACGTAATTATGAAGACGGGAGACCAAGAAATGAAGAACTCAATTCTTGGACTGGCTTTTCGAGTAGGTATCTAGTGCATTTCGAAAAAAATCGCCTATTCTTCTCCGAAAATCGTGGGAGGTTACACTTGAAATGGGACACACATTGTATCTTAATAATCCTGGAAGTAAATTTCCTCTTGAACAGGATTGTAATCAGCGTCCCACATTTTATCGAATTCCGAAAAATGAATAGGTTGTTGCTGGAATTATTTTCGAAAATGGAAGAAGGCACATTATTTTATTTCGAACAGTATATCACCCTGTATCCCAAAGACTAAACCTTTCATTTTTTTTCTTATTCACCTACAGGGTACCCACTATCTATCTGTCCTAACATTTTCAAATACATTTTTTCCAATACCCGCAATCATAGTTTCTATACCTAAAGACCTATTCCGCAAAATACTGAGGATGAGACAATATAAAGTGAAAACAAGCACTAACCGTAACAAATTGACTGAGTGTTCCTCTCCCTGTACAGATCGATCTTCTCCATTATCCTGTTTTTCAAGTTCAGCGCCTGTTTTAACTGAAACCTTGAACCACCACGCCTCCTATTCGCCCGGAGCTGACCCCAACAGACTCCAATCATGCCCAAAACCAACAAAATGTTTGATACTAGCATTTTCGACGAGGGTTGCACGAATAATAAGGTTTTTTTCGATTCGAATATATTTTTAGCGAACACATTCTTGGCGCACGATCTTCCAAGTCAATGATGCCAAACACCGGCGTAAAAGATCACTCCTACCACTTTCTCTTTTACGGAAAGTGGTATCGACTGCGATAGAGGAGGTTTATTCGGTTGTGCATGGCAATATTCACTTCTTCCAAGTAATAAATTGTGTAAATGTTTTTTGAGGTTGTATAATAATTGGTCATTGTTCAATTTTTTCACTGGCGACAGTTCCAATTGAGTAATAGAACTATCAAAATAATTGTACATCCATGACGAAATTATACCAATGTTTTATGTAGTCGATTTATTATTACATTGAGCATGTCGAAGAAATATGATGGAGTTCGGTTCAAGAGAGCACGATGCCAACAAAATTTATTCGTTGCTCTTTTTTCTTTGAATTTTTGCACTTGCTGGTAATGTTATAGGCAGGAATAAGCATCATTCTTTTGTTCGAGTGCTTTCGTTGTAATATTCATAAAAATCATACAACTGCATGATCTTTCATTTTTAGTAATTCTTATGCACTAGCGGGCGGTAAAGAGCACTTTATCGCCCAGATTAGCGGGCGTAAAGTGGTACTTTAACACCCGCAGGCCCGTTATCACCCACGGGCCATAAAGTGCACTTTACCGCCCGCTGTTCTCAAGTCCCTTATATCCTCACATCCATTTGTGGAAGATCTAAAGTTGATTCTATCGTTATGATTATGGAACATGTTATTGTTCATCTGATTTCATCTTCGCTATGACTTCCTTTTTTGAATAGTTGCTATCTGGCTGTCTGAAGTTTTAAGCGAAAAGATGACAATTTCAGCTTGTTTTTTGGATGTGTTGCTAGACAGCAACCATCAGATTGATTGACAACGTCAAATTAATGTAGATATACTGGGTATAAATATTGTTACATCTCAAGGAATGAATATCTGTTAGTGAAGAGTTTTACTCTTACGATAATTGCGATAATCGTACGGTTATTTTAATATGTAGATTATACACATAAACATCTTCGCTTGAAAACTGAATTTATGAGTAACATATAAATTGTAGTTTATTGAAATCCTGCCATTACTTGTGACTCGGGATATATACCACTCTAGTGCATAACATTTTGTATGTATCACGAGGGTAAAATGCGTTTATAGCCTCCGGCCCGAGGGCCATTATTCACGCCGCCGGCCATAAACGCCTACTTTACGCCCTTGTTACATAAATAACTATTATAGCCCTAGGCTTATATCAAGTCAGAAAGTTGCTTCGGGTCTGTCAGAAAATGTCTTTCCTGTTTGACCGCCGTGTTGTATCGGCGGTAACGGATTGACGCATTTCTTATATTTGTTGGAACATCACCAATTATTATTCTAGAATGCATCAAATATCGAAAACAACAGAACAATTTGATAAAGGGTGAAGATCAATTTGTTGTGTTTATTATGTTTTCAGGAATATTCCTGATTTCTGTAGTAGATAAAAATTTCTTCCGATGTATTCTCTTAGAATTTGAATGATATTATCAAGTCACAAAAGCTAAACGTAGCCTTGTGTAATATACCGCATTCATGGTCAACTAGGTAACCCTAAAAATAAAATCGGCTCCGAGACATAGGTTTACATACTGGTTCAAAATTATTTCAGATATGGGCGCCCCTTGTAAACCTATTTTAGTTTTTCAATCCAAAACCGTTTGTCTAACGAAAAAAAGTCAAGAGGTTATTTTTGTTAGCAACTAATACTAGATTACAAAACTGATTTTTATTTTGATGAAAAACAGTGGTGTGCCATTTTTTAATGAAATAAATTTATATTATGGTCAATATCAACGATTCCAAAATAGGTAGATGATAAATTATTTTCATTCAATTATAGAGAAATTTATCCTCTTTCAAAACATATTAAAATTTATATACCATTACATTTGATTTTTTTGGAAAAAACTAAAAATTTTGCTATTATTTCAGTTAACGCCATCTAGCGGCGACAGCAAGAGTCAAAAATTCAAAACCAAATGAGCGTTTTGTAGGGCAAATTATGCTCTTTCATATTACCCTGTGTTTGCTGAAATCGGTCGAAATAAACGGGAGAAATCTTGGTTTGTTTGAAAAAACAATTGAACTTCGCCCACCGCTTTATTTTGATAGCTAGAACAAAATTTTTCAGACAAAAAATGTAGGGAAATGGTCAGTAAATATGAAAATAATATCATCGATATACTTTCATGGGACAAAATTCTATAAAAATACCATTTTTCTACTTGGTGTTGGTTGTTACGCCCTCTAGCGGACGTTTGACAAACTCGAAAATAATTTCCAGCAATTTCTCTTGGCGACTTTTATCATGATTTTTTTTCTCAAATCCATACGACCAATATCTTATGAGATATGGCCGCTCGCTACCCTTAACTGATCACCCTGTACATGTATTTTACTTCTCATACCCGATTTGGCAATGTCAAGAATTTTCCAAAATTTTGGATCAGCGGCGTGGAAAATAGGTGGGCCTAGGGGCATTTCTTCCCCCAACTTTTTTTTTATGCAATTCTGGTAGTTTGACCAGGAAATATGAAAGTATCATTGTAACCTGAGAATAAGACGCTGGTTTCGTTAGCACTCACCATAACAAAAATTCCATAATGAATTGTCACCGAAATTATGAACACCTGCCAAATTTCAAGTTAATCGTAGTCATGGAATTTTCGCTGAAATTAAAAAAAATGGCTGCTCCAAGATGGCGGACAACATTTGGTCCGATTACATTCAAAATTGGTATGTAGGGGTTTTTGAGGTCGGAGATCATGATTTTTTTGTTAAAATTCATGAATTCAAGATGGCGGCATCCAAATAATTTTTTGTGTTTGTATAAATGACGACAACTCCGTTGTTATCAACACAAAACTATTACTGCGACATATCATCTGTAAGAGGAAAAAAAGTTATTTGTAACTAAGTCATAGTGAGCTATGACCTACATTTGAAAAACTGAAGTTGGTGCTGATATCTCAAATTCTAGAAGTGTTGGTATAAATTTCATATTTTTTTCGAAATCATTTTGAAAAACTGCCATGGAAATTTGAAGTTCCTATTTGAATATTTTCATAAACAAAGAAGTTAAGGAGGAGACATGAAAATGATCAAAATCTGTCTTTTGCGTATAGAACAAAAACGAATAGATTTTCTCAAAATATTTTTTCACATTACAGTTGGCCTTGACAAACTCCACATTTGGTGTCATTTAACCGACCTCGTATCTCTCACCGTTAAAAAGATACCAATGGTGAGCATGGTAAGTGGGACACACTGTATACCAAGGACAAAACACTATATATCATAGTAGCCGAGGCTTTTTCACATCACGGTCCTATTCACACATGAAATTTATCGGATTTCGTGAATAATTAATTTGACAACAGCAAATTACAGTTGTTGTCAACAGCAAATTACAGTTGTTGTCAACTCACTCTCCGCGCGGACTAGGGTTGCTAGTTCGATTTTCATTCTTTCAGTCTATCTTGTCAAATATTCAGTATATTTCAAGAAATCTGTTAAGGATCCATTTAATGCTATAGGAATTTCAAGAAAATGATTATGAAATAAACCTATGACGTCAAAACATCATATATACTTTAAGTAAGTCCAACCAATCCCCAAAAAAGGGAACAAGACCCTGCCCAACAATTACAGGCTCATTGCCCTGTTATCAGTAATCTCCAAAGTGATAGAGAAAGCCATCAACATTGAGCTTATCAAATATCTGGAGAGCTCAGGAATCATCAATGATAGACAATACGGCTTTTCGCCACCGAAGATCTACTGGAGATCTATACTTGCCTACGTCACCCATTTATGGCAAGCTTCATTAGAAAAACACGGGGAATCTCTAGCTGTCGCGTTGGACATATCGAAAGCATTTGACCGTGTTTGGCACGAAGCACTCCTCCACAAACTACCATCATACGGCTTACCACCTCAGCTATGCCATCTCTTATCGAGTTTTCTTTCAGGCAGATCGCTCCATGTGGTGGTGGACGGGGTGTATCGTCTGATACCATTGGCATCAATTCCGGCGTTCCGCAAGGATCACTTTTGGCACCAACATTATTCCTTCTTCATATCAATGATCTGTTGGGAGTAACAACTTGCCCCATCCACAGCTTCGCAGATGATAGTACCCTCATCCATACTGCTTTCTCATACAGAATTCCCATTTCTTCCCAGGAAACTAAGAACTCACGGCGCATTCAGGTCAATGCTGTCAATGAAGACCTTGCTGAAATCACAGCCTGGGGAACCAACAACCTAGTTGGATTCAACGCCACCAAAACTCAAGCCTGTATTTTCTCTAGAAAGGCGGAACTCAGTATACCCGACATTGTAATGTCTGGCACCACCATCTCCACCAAGCCCACCATATCTATGCTCGGTATTTCCATCAGCAACACTCTTTCATGGGATAATCATGTCAGATCCATCGCAAAAGCTGCTTCACAAAAACTCGGATTCTTGTTCCGTGCGAAAAGCTACTTTACACCTCAACAGCTTCTCATGATCTACAAAGCGCAGATACGGCCTGTTCTAGAATACTGTTCCCACATATGGGGTTCAACACCAAAACATACGCTGATGCTCTTAGATTCCATCCAGAGAAGAGCCATCCGCCTGGTGGGTGACGCCACACTCACTCACGACCTTTCACTTTTCTATCGATACTTCCACGGGAAATGTGCTTCGGAAATCTCTGCTATTATCCCTTCACTAGCAATACCAGTCAGACGAACTAGACAAGCCTAGTCAGCACATTGTTTCGTTGTCAACCTCGAAAGATGTCGAACAGCACTTTATCAGGACTCATTCATCCATAGAACGGCTAGGCTCTGGAATTCATTGCCTGAGGAAGTATTCCCAACAACATATAATCTCCAGAAGTTCAAAAAAATTCCAATACCTACCTCCTATCCCTATCCTTCCTAGGAACGCACGATGTTCTTTGAACATTATAGGGATTCCCTTTCGTGCGCTCCAAGCGATAAAATAAAAAAAAGTGAACAA